TCCTGTTCAAAGGGAGTTTTTCCTCTCCACTGTCGCTACAAGCATGCTTAGTGTGAGGGATTGCTGAAGAGTCGATGCAATCAGCTGGTTTTCTTTAGATAGAAAACTTTGAATCAAATTGACTGGATGATCTGGTTGGACTGTAAAGTGCTTTGAGACGACTTGTGTTGTGAATTGGAGCTATAGAAATAAATTGAATTGAATTAAATGTCTTACAACCTCTTATGGATATAAACACTTTTTATTTAACTTATTACTCAGCAGCCATTCAGAACATCAACATATACAACATGTTATAAGGTAGCAAAAAGACCTTTTTTAAATGAGAAGTGATTAGTTTATTCATCTTAGATCATTTGTGGAAGGTCAGAACCCATTATTAACTAATTTATGTCAGTGTCCAGGTTTAGAAGTTTATAACGATTGATGGGTTCAATAACAGGAAGCTGAGAGAGCAGGTAAGACTTTATTCATCTCAAAAACATGCATTTAGCAAGAAACCAGGTGTAGTTTACATCAGGCACAAACAACAGGGAGGTCTCAGCCAGGAGGAACAGAACAACTACAAACTCATGGTTTAGCTCTGTGCTTTGAGGCTTCAGCCTGTCATCCTGCAGGGTTTATGGTCCCTCTGCTTCAGAAAGGCCTGCTCTGTAGGAACACTGTCTGCTCTTAATCTTCACTCAGCAACCTTTCCTCAGAAACCTGAAAATAAAGCCTCTATGAAGAAACTCTTAGATTTAGTTTCCCTTCTGGTCCATCTGTCTGGCCCAGAATGATGACTGTTGTTTCAGTTTTATTTAACTGATCGACAGGCCAATAGAGGGACCTCTCAAGGGAAACAAACTAAAATATTAACACTTTTAACTTAACTTATTTTTAAAAAATACCTCCAGATAATAAAAGCATTCCACAATTTAGTTAGAAATAATGTAAACAATGAAACACCTGAGGTTGTCAATGACTTCAGTGTAGCATAGATTTGAAGTCCAGGTGTATTTTAATGTGAGATGAATGCAGCCGTGACATTAGCACAGATAGAAGGCAATCAGGCTGTTAGCAAGCTGTTAGGTTTCACGTTAGACGTGGTGCGTTGATAAGCAGTGAATCAAAACGGTGCATTCGCTGCAAAAATGTAAATCTAACTATATTTATCTTAAAATAAGTTAATTTGTTCTTGAATTGAGGAGCTAAGTGAAACACTTTGCCAAAGGAACACAAGACAATTTAGATTCAAAATGAGAAGAAACAATTGAAGCCAATTATTTCAAGAGCATATTATCTAATTATTTTAAGGGTAAAAATGCTCATTCAATTGGCAGATCATCTTTATTTGCCTACTAAAATGAAGGGTTAATGCACTTATTTTAAGAAATGTTGATTTTCAGAATGCCGGTAAAGATTCTCAGCCATCCAGGTCAGAGTAATTCCCAAAAAGTAAAAAAAAACAACCATCCACTGGACTTTATTTCCAGGTTTGAAGATGTCTCCCTTCCCATCCAGGAAGCTTTTTCAATTCCCGCTGCTGGTTTAAGGTGAAGCACACACAGAGAGATGGAGAATGAGGAGGATCCAGCAGCAAAACAGCATTTTCCAGGTGGAAATACCGGTGTTACGTCGAGCTGCGTTTCCCCATCAGATACGGTTTTCCTTGCAAAGTTTGAAGATGTTTCTCTTCCATCCAGGAAGCTTTTTCAATTCAAAATGTCAGAAATAGCGTTGAGTTCCAGGCTTTATACAGCAGCCCAACAAAGCCTGGTTTTTGTCTAGAAAACATGCAAATTGAAACGAGCTAACGGGTCCACCCCTTTGGAATGGGGGTTGTTTCAGTTAGTTGTTAGCCTGCAATGCCCCATACCTGTCTATGTCTCTGAAACGGGGGTCGTTAAAGGGATTGCTGGCCTGGCTGAATAGGTGAGGTCTTCTGTTCACCTGTAAAGGGGGTGGGGCTGCGATGAGAGTGGGAAGGAATCAACTCTATCGCTGCATTGTAGGTTTTTGAAAGCTTCTATGTCACTGAACTGATCCATTAAGCACTCATCAATCTGGTGACAAATGCTGTTGTAGTTAATATCTGACCCCTGGTCTCCAATTTGGTCTCCCTGTATGTTAATCTTTCTACGATGAAGGTAGGAGAGATCTCTTAATGAGATCAGACCGTCATGTGCCAGAGATGTGCTTAGTTTATCTCTCTGTTCTGCAGCTTAATCTGTGATTTTCCTGGTGGATGTAATGCAGACTGTGAGGAGGTGGTGGTATGTACTGCCTGACCTGCTTGCTAAACTCTTCAAAACTGGGAAGTATTTTCTGTATGTCAGTGCTACCCATATCACTAGCCATCACTGTTCCCTGTTCATCTGCCTGTACAGCACTTACAATAGAAAGGTCATTTTGAAATGTAACAACAGGGTCAACAAAACCCTTAAGTTGACTGTCCTTTAAAGCAGCATCATGACCTGGTGGATTTACAAAAGGAACCTGTGTGATCCTAGAAGCCGGAAGCTGTACCTTTAGTTGAGGTGTATGACCCTGAATGGCTGCATCCACAAGGTCCCTTAACTCTAACAAATGAGCCATGCCAGTGTCCTTGGACTCCAGCAAAGTCTTACTGCTAATAAAACTGGTGATATACTTATAGCAATCCTCCTCATCTGCACACTCAAGATGAAGTGGCTCCAACTCTGAAACTGGACTGGCAATCTGGAACAGTTCATCTGCAGGTAGGTTGAGCAAGTTCTTCTTGATGTACCACACCAAGCTTTTCCTCTCACCGTCTGCCATAGCTGATCCTTCTTCCTAGCAGTTGACTACACCATTCAAAGTCCTGAAGCCCTTTCTCTCTTTTTCTTATCCTTCACCGGTGGCTAGGGTTAGATGCCTTCCTAATCCCTAATCCGCTGAGATGAGAGATGGAATGTATGAGGTCCCCAGCATCTTTATCACTGGAACCACTTTCCTGTCTGGCAGGGAGTAGTATCCCGGACAAGCCCCCACAACTGTAACGGGTACCAGGGTTCTGGACCCATCAGCAGCAGATGAAGCTGAAAAACAGCATATAAATAAGCACACAGGAGACGCAGCTGTGTAACTCAAATTTCTTTCCGGTTATGAGAAAAGGCAGAGCAACAGGCAGTTCACAGTCTCCATGCACCACCTACAGGTGAAACACCGTAACTACGGTCATTAACAGCTGTTAACAACAAATAAAATAACTAGTCATAAACTCATACATAATAGAAATACATGCTTCTTTTTCCCATTGTAGGCACACACCCATGGGCATCAGATGAACATTCTGGTCACGTAAAGAAAGTCCTTTGTCCATGAGGTGTAGATGTACAGCAGAGTCTTCTTTGTCGGGCCATGCCTCTGTGGAGAGGTTGTTTTTTGTTTTTTTCCAATATAAAGATCAGAGCATTCCTCAATGCACTGAACTGCAAACACCCCTCCGCTCAGATTTGGTCTGGGGGGTTTTGTCCTTAGGATGCACTAGCCTCTGTTTAATGGTCTTGTTAAACTACTTGTAAGGCTACAGTATAAAGCCTGGAACTCAATGCTATTTCTGACCTTTGAATTGAAAAAGCTTCCTGGATGGGAAGAGAAATGTCCTCAAACTTAGAAACGATGTCGAGTGGATTTCTTTTTTTTTTACTTTTTTGGAATTACTATGACCTGGATGATTGAGAATCTTCGCCAGTTATTTAGCATGTTTTAAAATAGGTTATTTTACCTATAAATATTTAGTTTGCTGACAATCTAAATATTTAGTTTGGAACTTTGATTTTTATAAATGAATGAATGACAAAGTGGAAAAAATAACCTTATTTTTCTCTTAAAACTGGTTAAATAACCATAAATATTGCTCCTAATTTTATGATGGATTAACTTTACAAACAGCTCTGCATAGACTGGAAGCACAAAAAGCAGCTGAAACAAGTTGCAGAACAAAGGAATGTTTAGCCCTCTATTGATTCATCAGTCCTCTGTTTCCTTAAGCACATGACTGGGTCATTATTAGAGCTCTTTGGATTTTCCAGTGGGCCTCTGCTATCCTCTGGGTGTTCCTGCTGCTTAGATGTCCGTAGTAATAGATAATTTTTAACCTCCAGCCAACATTTAGAACTGAATAAAAGTGGCAGAAGCTCCTCAGAGTTTGTAGTTTAAGTCAAACTTTAATTGATTTCAGTCATTTTGAAAAGCTTTTCCAAGCCTGAAGTGAACTGAAGCGTTGCTTTGATGCTTTATTACCTTAATCCTTGCAGCTGGATTACAGATCTATATAAAATTAATAAAATCTTACCAGTCTCTACTGGTTATAAACCTGCAGATATTCATCACTGAGGTTCTTCAGCCACACAGACGGCCACCCCTCAATGTAAATCAGCATCTGCAGCTCTTAGAGATTATAAACACCATGCAGTGATCCCGTACCTGAAAGGTGACGTGATGGCTTCAAAGAAAAGCTGTGGATCCTCTGGATTAAAAATCCAATCTAGGGACAGGAGAATCCATTCGGTTCTGGTAAGGCACCTTGCAGCATCGGTCCACGTGTTACTCTGTCGAACTTCCAATTTGACAGAGCCACATTGTCTGAAACACAAAGTAGCGCTCACCCAGCCATCGCTCCAGACAGGCACATGTAGATTGTTTGGCCCAAGGGAAAACTAATGCTGCGTTCACACTTAAGGCGTTTTGAGCGTCGAAAACTAGCAAACGCAGAAATTTGTGAAACATCGTGGTGCAGTGGCTTTATTTACATTATGAGTTGAAAAAATAGTTTTAAGCACGTTTATAAGTGAGAAAGTCCACCTCCAAACATCCTCTGTTCATTGGTTTATCAGGATTGTAATCCCACTATAATCTGCAGCTCTTGTTGGGAGCTCCAGACCTCCAGCATACCACTGGGAGGCAGCGCTGGAAATCCCTGCTGAAAGCTCTCTGCTGCGGCCAGCCTGTGGAGGATTTCCTCCTGCCGTTCGTAGCGGCTGGAAGTGAATAGAGTTTTCAAGGTTTTTAGTGAACAAGAACCAAAATACACAATTGAATATTTTTCATCAGCAGGTTTTAACATTTCTAGGGAATTTGGATATTTACAAACTGTTTCTCCATAGTTCATAAAAATGTTTTAGTTCAGCAATAATGATCAGAGCTGCTCTCTGTTCCTTCTGTGGCTTTATTTTAACCTTTGGAGTTGAACTCCAATGATATTCATTTATTTTTCATATGTAGAATGTCTGCAGAACCGATGGCAGCTTGCAGGTAGTGTCTGTCTCCCCAAAAACCACCCGCATTAGCTTTTCTGATTGGTTGACGCTCTGGCCTCCAGCGGCAAAGGTTCGATTAACTGAACTCCAGTGTCGAACACTCGGATGTGAAAACTTAACGCCTTCTCCCATAGGCATGTAAAGCTGACGCTTTGACACTCAGAATGCGAAGCCCAATGGGGTCAGCTCCACATGGACGTGGTCCCCTCATCTAAAGCTGGATGGCACTGCATCAAACGGCAGCATTAGGGACCGCAAAGATGAGTGTCGTCACAGCATGTCCCCGTGTGCACATCCTCCTCTGTATGTGTGTCCGTCACTGTCCTGGAAAGGTAGGCTGGTGTGTAGATGTGACAGCGACTGTGCCTTCAGAGGAAGGGTAGGGTGACGCCCAGGGGCTCGATGTGTGGACAGTAGTTGGTCCTCTGCAACATCACCTAGAAACAGGGGAAACAGAACTGTTAAAGTCTGGCATCCTCTGTTTTCCAACTGTTCCCTAGCTTAAGCTTTCCAAGATTTTTATACTATTGCTGTGGTTGTCAGGTAGAAAGCAGGAGGGAACAGGTATAGAGTCAATTACAGAGAAACTACAAAATGGAAAAGAGCGAATGGAGAGATAATCACCTGGTAGGATGTTATACTGGAAGAAAATGGAGGGAAGGATGATAATAGGACGACTGATAGAAACAGTAAACGGAATAAAGCAAGAAGACAGGAAAGAAAAGAAGAGTTAGAAAAAAGAAGGGAATAAGACAGAATGAAGGCAGAATGAACCTCCCATGGTGGCTTAACTTTCATGTTTTAACAGAATTGAATTTCCTCTGCTGGCAAACCACAGCCGGCCATCTGATCACTGGCAAGGCATAGCTGTTCATCCTTGCCATACCTGCCAGCTATGACTTCGATCCTAGACTCCAGGTACAGCCAGTGGTGCTTGACGTTCCCACTTTCTGAGCCATTAAACAGTTTCCTCAGCTGTCATGAGGCAACCAGAAAGACTTCTCAAAAGCCCTCCCTGTTTTTTCTTCTCAAAGCAACCACTGTCCTACTGGGTAGCAGGTAGCCTGTTAAACCAGACTAAATGTGAGATTAAATGTGTAATTTAGTCTGGCCCCGGTGAATAAGACATCGGAAGATTGTTGATGAGAACAATCCGTTGTTTTTCAAACAATGTCTGTGCCTATTGGCCCAGCTGACTTTGACGTAGCAAGTGCGACAGAAAGCTGGTGGGGGAGTGTAAATAAACAGCCTGTTGGTAAAACAGGCTGCTCACATTTCAACAAAAACCCAAAGTCTAATCCTTCCAAAACTGATTCCTAAGCTGAGTCAAACGAGAACTGTTCAATAGTTGTTGCCATCTTTGTTGTTGTGCTTTCTCCAGGGTCGCGCAGCTTTGTTGTCATGCCCTCAAAACCCCGCCCACTTTGCATCCAGATAGGCAAAACATATCTCTGCGTTGTGATTGGCCCCGCCAGTTCTAGAGCCTGGGGCATTGATCGGGGCTAGACCACTCACAGGGAAAGTTTACTAGGCAAGGTAGTAGGCATTATCTTTGATGAATCCTAAATCAACCGGCAGGTGGATTAGGACACTGCCTCACACCGATGACTTCTACTAACAATGGTTCCATTAAATGGGTCCTCTGGTTGATAGAGGCTGAACTATTTTTCAGGCACCTTCTCCTTGAAGCTTTGCAACAATGAACATCCAGTATATGGCCTGTCCTAACTCCATTATGCACAGTGGTCAATTGAAGCTTGGCTTCCTGAACTCCAGGACATGTCTGCATCACTAATGAGCTTGCTTTTAAGAGTCAAATCTTTAGATAATCCACAAAATGTAAAAAGTTGAGCGGGGTCCTACCATTGCCATGGTCCATGCCGGTCTGGTTTCCAGTGATGTGGTGCCAGTAGGCAGATCTGGGTAGGATGGCAGTTGGGGTACATGGATAGGAGCCAGCATGTGAGTCCTTGGACAGCAGCTGGGTATCATGCAAATTATGAAACATAGACAAAGCTCAGTCAGTACCAACCACGTTAATAGCATTAACCAGACTTGTTGCTCTTCAGGTTTGGTCCAGAGCATTCAGTCCACACAAAAAGAATAAGCAACTTAATACTGCCTCACGTTCCTGAATGCATCATAATACAAACCTGCATTAAAGCCAGTTTAGGAAGTAATTAAGCGTTTCCTAGAGACAGAAAATGTAGAGCCAACCAACAGAGATGAATTATGTAGAAAGAAGAAACGGGCGAGACTGTAACTTTGTAGTCTTTGAATTGTGTGAAACACTTCTTCAAAAACTAATACAAAAAAAATGTTGGCTGAACGTATTCTCCGCTACATCGGCCCCTAATTCTCATACACTGGTATTTCTGGTAATGAGAGACAGCAAATTTACAACAATAAGTAAGGTTTGACATAAAAGGTTTTCTAAGCTGCTGTTCTGGAATATTTGGTGCAATAGGGCAGCACCTTTGATGGTGACAAGGTTAGTTGGTAATGGGTGAGGGTTACATAGGTATTGATGATGGGTGACGGTTAGGTAGGTAATAATACCTACCCACTGTCTACCCACTGTCCCCCATAAAATTAAAAAGAGAGATCATATCTCTCCTATCCTGGCTTCGATTCATTGGCTTCCTGTTAAATCCAGAATAGAATTTAAAATCCTCATTCTCACATATAAAGCCTTAAATGGCCAAGCTCCATCTGCCTGCCTGTGGAGCTGGTTGACAGTTGCCTTTTGTATCTATGCTTCTTTTTCTATGTCCGCTTCTGTCACCCTTTATCATTACCTACCCCTAGGTAGGTATTCATAAAGCATGGGTGTTAGGTAGGTATTTATAACGAGTGGGGGTTGGATAGGTATTGATAACAGGTGGTATTGTAATGGTTGGGTATTAGGCAGGTATTGGTAATGGGTTGGGGTTAGGTAGGTATAGGTTAATGGGTGGGGGTTAGGTAGGTATTGATTAAGGGTGGGGCTTAGGTATGTATTGGTATTGGGTGGGGGTTAGGTATGTATTGATAAAGGGTGGGGGTTAGGTAGGTATTGATAACGGATGGGGGTTAGGTAGGTAGTGATAAAGGGCTGGTTAGGTAGGTTTTGATAAAGGGTGAGGGTTAGGTATGTATTGGTAATGGGTGGGGGTTAATTAGGTATTAATAACAGGTGGGGGTTAGGTAGGTATTGGTAATGGGTGGGGGTTAGATAGGTATTAATAAAGGGTGGGGGTTAGGTAGGTATTAAATGGTTGGAGGTTAGGCAGGTATTAAATGGTTGGGGGTTAGGTCGGTATTGATAAATGGTGCAAGTTAGGTAGGTATAGATAAAGGGGGGGTTAGGTAGGTATTGATAAAGGGTGGGGGTTAGGTATGTATTGGTAATGGGTGGGGGTTAGTTAGGTATTAATAACAGGTGGAGGTAAGGTAGGTATTGGTAATGGGTGGGGGTTAGGTAGGTATTGATAAAGGGTGGGGGTTAGGTAGGTGCGTATATAGATAAGGGGTGGGGGTTAGGTAGGTATTGGTAATGGGTGGGGCTTGGGTAGGTATTGGTAATGGTTGGGGGTTAGGTAGGTATTGATAAACGGTGGGAGTTAGGTAGGTATTGGTAATGGGTGGGGGTTAGGTAGGTATTGGTAATGGGTGGGGTTTACTAGGTATTGATAATGGGTTAGAAATGACCATGGTCCAACAAGTGTGTGTTCTCACCCTTCTGTTTCTTTCCATCTCCAGCAGGACCTTTTTGTGCTGTTCAGCAATGGCCAAAGCAGAAGAGTGGACCCTGTGGTAGATCTGCTCACCCTCGTTGGTCTGGAAGGTGTAGAGGCCTTCACCACTATCACAAGTCCTGCACACAATCACACATTTATATGAAGCTATTCTATGGCTGATATGCTGGACATTTAGTAGTCATTGAAAAACCTCCACCACCAGGTAGTTCCCCGTGAGCTTTAACTCCCACCTCCAGCAGAGCTTTGAACACGTTCCGTGGGAAGGTGGGTGACATTGAGTCTGACTGGACCATGTTCCGTGCCTCTATTGTTGAGGTGGCTAGTCGGAGCTGAGGCTGCAAGGTTGTAGGTTCATGTTGGGGTGGCAACCCTCGAACACGCTAGTGGACACCAGTGGTGAGGGAAGCTGTCAAACTAAAGAAGGAGTCCTATCTGGCTTTATTGACATGTGGGACTCCAGATGCAGCTTATGTGTTCCGGCAGTCAAAGCAGCAGGTGGCTCGGCTGGTCGATGAGGCAAAAACTTGGTCATGGAAAGAGTTCGGAAAGGCCATGGAGTCCTATCAGGCTTTATTAACCTGTGGGACTCCAGAAGAAGCTGACAATTACCGGCAGTCAAAGCGGAAGGTGTCTGGGCTGGTCGCTTAGCCAAAAACACGGGCATGGTAAGAGTTTGGAGAGGCCATGTAGAAAGACTTCCGTATGGCTTCTGGTCCTTAATCCGGCATCTCAGGAGGGGGAAGCAGTGCACTAACAACACTATTTATAGTAGGGGCGGTGTGCTGCTGACCTCGACTTGGGACATCGTATGTCAGTGAGCGGAGTACTTTGAAGACCTCATTAATCCCACCAACACATCTTCCATTGAGGAAGCAGAGCCGGGGGCTCCGGCTTGGGTGCTCCCATCTCTGGTGACAAGGTGGTTAAAAAGTTCCTCGGTGGCAAGGCCCCAGGGGTGGATGAGATTCGCCCTGAGTTGGCAAAACTAGTGTCTTCATCTAAGCCTTCAACTTGGATGTTAGATCCAGGTATTCCCTTTGATCTCCTTTCTCCGTTTTAGATGTGATTAATCTATCTCTGTTACAGGGATATGTACCAAAGGCTTTTAAGGTTGCTGGAATTAAACCTTTAGTTTAGAAACCGTCTCTTGACCCAGATGACTTGGTCAATTATAGACCTATATCCAACCTTCCTTTCTGATCTAAAATTCTTGAGAAAGTAGTTGCCAAACAAGTTTGCGATCACTTCCACCATAATTAACTTTTTGAAGAGTTCCAGTCCGGCTTTAGAGCTCATCATAGCACCGAAACAGCTCTGACGAAAGTCAC